GGGGGTATGCCGGTCTCGGCCATTAGCGGGGTCGTCGGGGCCGAGGCTGTACATACAGCTGGTGACCGCGTGAGCCGCCAATCGAAGCTCACGGCTTATAAGCTCGACGCGGGCATCACACGCCGTCCCGATGGAAGCTCCACGACGCCGCCGCGAACTCCAGCGCGGCTCGCAGCGCGAAGACCAGTACGGACGGCCGGGGCAAACGGCGTGCGGGAGTCGCAGGCGACGTTCTGCGGGCAGAAAGGGTTGGGCATAAGCTGGTCGGCAGGACACTCTTGAGCCGAGCCTTTGATGTAATTACAGATGATCCAGAAGCATGCACAAAAATTCATGACACACTATTCTCATTTATGTATTTGCTACATATGATATGATATACCAGCTCATGATCAGTGACGCATTCTGGGCAATATGTTCTAAAGTGAAGTAACTGAAGTTACAGCTTAAAAGCTTAAAAAAACAGCTTAAAAAAACACACACACACACATTCGATAGCTTATGAGAATAACATGCCTTGTGTGCTTAATGCAGGAAAATATTTTTTCCACTTTTTTAGAAACAGCAAAAGAGTTGTCAACAAGCCATGTCAACTATCTAAACAATTTTTATGGAAACTGCTCTAGCTAGCTTAACCCTATTCCTGGCGGGCTCCGCCGGGACAAGAAACTGGCGGGGGGGGGGCCGATTCGGCCCCCCCCCCTGAGATCTCGAGAACGAAGCAAGATAGCGACAAGCGGTAAACGGCATCGGATACGCACGGCCAAGATCTACAATTTTTACTAAGGTCATTTTCAGGTCAGGTCAAAGATGACGTCACAGGGGTCGAAAAAGTCAAAATGGCGGCACTAGATATGGAGAGAGTTTTTCTCGAATAACTTTCGAATTAGTCAAGATAGGAACAAACTAAGGGCATCATCGTGATCCTCTCGTCAATCCGCATCGAATGATATATATGTTGACCTCGAAAGGTCAAGGTCAAAGGTTGACCTCAGGTCACGTGACCTCGAGGTCATCATGTATATCATTCGATGCGTCTTGACGAGCTGAACACAATGAGACCATCCACGCGTCTGTATCTTGTTCCTGTACGGAGTTATTGGCCAAAAACCTTTGGTGACCTTTGATGACGTCACATGACCTCACAGCTGCCCAACAGCAAAACAGACCTCAAGGTAGTGAAGGTTGATCGTATATGAAGTCATGTATCGTATATGGGGCCATTCCGACCCGTTTTAGTGGTAAAAACAGGGAGTTGATTTTTCCCCCATTGACTTATAATGGGGAGGTCGCGAAATTGACCTGACCTTAGGTCACCGATATCAAAATTCCGAGATATACAAATTGCACATACTGGTACCCTAACTAAACCCTGAAGAGAAGAAATTGATCGGTCAAAAACTCTAGCTCTGGCGTGATTGCAAACTTTTCTGAGGTAGCGTCACCAAACCGCCTCTGGTGACCTGACCTGAGGTCAGATCAACTCAAAATTTTCAGACATGTTGCGTAGAAGCCTTTTAAGAAAAGTCAGAAAATTTGAGCTTCCTAGCTCAACGTGTTTGGGAGATATAACCAAAAAACCTCAGGGGGGGGGCTCCTGAGGCCCCCCCCCCGCCAGGAATAGGGTTAAAGTTCCACAACGTTTCCGGAGCACCGTACCCAAACTCAGTTCATGTTACAAGAAAAAACAGTAATAATGCCTCCTAATTTTGAATGAAATATAGGTATGAGTAATTTGATTTGGAAAGCAACAAATTTCCGCACATCATTTTAGCAAAATTACTATTTTCTTCAGCCATCAGGTTACACAAAACTATAGTAGGGTGAATAGGTCAAAAACGCCCCCCTTAAGCGCGAACCCTTCTGACACTCAACCCAACACAGATTACTTAAACCTTTGGGCACCATCATGTAGCTCATTCTTTTTACTACGTTTTGAGACCAAGAAAAGACACCTGCGTGTGGTATTTAACCCCCCAAAAAGGTTTTCGCATACCCTTGCAAAAGGGCGTTTTGCCCCATACCCTGGGTAATACGCCCACACCCATGTGCAAAGCGTCCCCACCCCATCTATCAACAGAAAATGATGAACATGGCAGAACTTGACGTCGTTCTGACGTCATTTGTGGTCAACCTATCATAGCCTTTGGAATAAAATTTTGTTGCAATGTGTAAAATGAATGCCCGGAGGAGTCCTGAAAGTTTGGTGACGATATCTGCAGTCGTTTAGGATATATCAGCAAAAAAGGACAGGGAGAGGCCTTTTCGGCCCCGACCTACAGGGCGCTACCCTGCACTCTCACCACCGTGCAAAACGCCCCCCTTTCAGAAAACTGGGGGCGTCTTGCCCCATGCATCGAGTAGGCGTCTTGCCCCATCCACTCCATTTCCGGTCAACAAAATATTGACAAAAAACGCGCCACTAACGCCGCAGCATAATATATTCAACAGAATGACAATAAAACGCAGTTTTGAGTGATGTGCACAATAGCAAGGTTTGTGATATAGAGAGGGCATCAAAATATTAGGAATCTTCTGCAAAAACAACAAAAACAACATCCAAAACCAACATCAGCACCTACCCACGCTGCTCCTCAAGACTCAGAACCGGAAATAGAGACCTACGTAAACAAGCAGCTGACTGTTCTGAAAGACAGGATAAAACACCTATCCGTCGATAAGAAATACGATTTTTTTAGGGGAGGCGTTTAACCCAGGGGTGCGTTTTCCCCACAGTTACCCTAAACTTTATGATCTAGTTTACACAAAACCAAAGCCCCGATTTTAACAAATGTAGATAAAATTTAAACAATTTTAAAAAATGTATCGTGGAGAAAATGAAAAGTGTAGATTTGTAAAGCCGGGATATTTCAATTTCACGGATTAGGCACTTAAAGAAATATCTTCACCTTTCTTTGAGCCACCAGCCTTCACCCAAGTTTTACACGAATGTAGTGAAGCAGACAATGTGGCAACTCAAAATTGTGATGGTTTGAGATAATTATGACGGTAAAAGAAAAAGCAACACAAGGTTCCTTACCCTCGTTTTTCACATGGGTTCACATGAGGCTTCAACTGTTGCCGACCTGAGAAGCTATAGGGACTTGAGCTTTCCAAAACTCAATTTCTAAGGGCACTGAGCAGTGTTTGGCTTTCACACGAATGCGATAGTAAGTTATATGAAGTTGACAAAGCAAGCAAAGCAAAGCATGATGCCCCGCGCGTCCGCTCGCGACCACGCCCCGCGTCCGACTCCCGACCGCCGCGTGACCCGAGGCGCCCGGCGGTCACGTGACCTACCGGCCGGGACTGCAAACGGCCTTCACCACCATTCTTGTATGACGTCATATCCTACTGAGGTGCTGATTGGTCGGAATTAGATACCTGAAGGTAATTATCTGCCGTAGTTATTTTTGTTTCATTGTTTTGCGTGTTTTCTTATATGAAATGTAATTAAAAAATTTGTCATATTTTAATCACCATTAAAACATAACTGAATAGGTATAAAAGAGAACTCGATATATACTTTCCTTGTTTTTAAGAATTCCGGAATTAGATACCCGAGGGAGCAAAGAGGGAGCAAGTTGCCACGCTGATTTAATACCTCATAGTCGAAAGGTGGGCTACTAGAACCAAAAATTGCTGTGTTTGTAAATAAATAAGTGATTTGAGGGCAAAAAATGCCCGGATTTAAACTTCTAAAATTATTTTGAACATAAAATATTTCAGTTTGAGGGATGTTAAGGCCTCTAAGGGTAGGTACTTTTTAGGTATCAAATAAGTTCCTCTGCGAAAGTTCCGTCGTGAAAACGGCCACCGTAACCTTATTAACCATCGCACTTGTGGGGAGGGGGAGGGGGAAGGGGTCGAATAAAACCCCATGGTTTTCCGCAAATTACTTGCGCAAAAAGCGGCCGATCGCGCCGAAACTTTCGGTACCCTCGAGATCATCAATTTTACATTTAACCTAAAAATTTCAAGACTCTGACACAACTGACCTTTGACCTGTGGCATATTTCTCGAGACCATGTTTGGCCGGAATCGCGATTCGGCGTATGCCAGCTCACATTATCCGCGGTTTCCAGTCTTTTTGTGGTTTTAAACGTTCAAATATGTGAAATGATGTTGGTGCCATGCATAATGGTGGGTGTCAAGGTCACGTGAAGGTCAAGTCAAGGTCATTGACCTTTTGATGACCTTGGTTCACTTTTTCGAGTTTTACTTGTTTCTAGGGTAGTTTTTGGTGCTGATTTCGATTTTAGCAGCCATTTGAATATTTACGAAGTAGTTCTAGTGCCTTCGTTCCATGTTACGAAGCTATCAGTAGTAGGTGACACTTCTATGGATGGCCGGCAGGACGCCTACTAATTGATCTAACCTGACCTGACCCGACCTGGCCTAAATGCATAAAGACATCGTCTGTGATCAAAACTAACATGAAATTCGTGATCAGCACCCCAAAATACCCCGTAACACCCTAACTTTGCGAAGTTTCAAGAGATCTCGATTTCCCAACTTTAGTTGGGTCATTAAACTGACTTGGAAAGTCAGCTTATGACCTTGGACTTTGAAATTGGATATATTCGGCCTAATTTCGTCATAGGCAGCACGCTTGACTTTTCCGCGAAGCTCTAGCTTGATCAGGGGCCAAACGGCTGAGCGGGGGGTCCAATTGAACCCCCTATACTATGTTGATTATGCACATTTACAGGTAAAATTCTCACCAGGACACACCAGCCAACATCTGTGCACAATCTGGCTACAATTCTTCCTATGGTTTGCCCTCTACGAATAAATACGTGCTAGATCGGAAAAATCCCCACTGTGCAGCGGGACGGAGGGACACGGGACGCTGGGACAGCGGGACGGAGGGACAGCGGGATCGATTTCAAACATGATCGATTCAAACAAACATGATCGATTCAAACAAACATGATCGATTTCAAATTGTGCTCGGTAAATACAAATAAATTGTACCTTCAAAAAATGAGCATGCTATGATGACGTCACTGGTGGGCTGGCAGCTGGCACCCAATGTCAGTACGAAAGCATTAGTTGCCAACGAATTTTGGGAAAACTTCGTTTTTCACTGTTACCGAGGCCCGAATCGAGTAAGCGGTTCTTTCCATGATAGCTATACATTACATTGCAATGCAAGTTCCACAGCATGACGTCACCACTGTTTTCATGTCTAGTTCCAAAACGCACGTATGGAATTTATCGGGAAAAATTCACATGTTAACCCGCGCGGGGCTGGGGTCTCCAGCCGAACGCGCGGGGCTGGGGGGGGTAAATTTTACCCCCCCTGTTATCTCCCGAACTAATGGTCCGATTTGGAAAATTCAAACGCCAATCGAAAGCTCTCATCACGAACTACTAAAAACATGTACTTAATTTAAAGTTTGAGGTCAAGGTCAAGGTCAGGTCAAGGGTACAAATTGCAAGTTTCTACAGTATCGGCCTTGCACCGTAGTTGCCGAAGAATGGAGTCATGGACTGAGACTGATCGCCCAAAACGTGTTCTTAGGCTACCAAGACAATATTCGTTGCATACAATATCATTCAGAGGTCAAGGTCAAGGTCAGGTCAGGTCAGGTCAGGTCACCAAAAAACAAAATATAGAAAAGGGCATGTGCGACACATGTTTTATGGGTCATTTTACTCGTAGAATTCAATAGGCACACTCAATAAGTGATATGGACCACCTCTGGATGAATTTCAGGTCGAGGTCAGGTCAAGGTCAGGTCAAGTGAGGTCAAATTTTGAAGTTGGTTGTTAAGGCCTAAAAAGGTGTCTATCTGATGCAGTTTTTCACGGCGAATCGAATGGTGCTATTTTTGTTTCCGTACGAGGTCTAGAACTTCCAAAAAAGTCATTTTTCAAAAAATTTGTGTGTCGTGACGTCATAAAATTTTGAATAACTCCCACATTTTTGAACCGATTCTTCTAAAATTTGGTATGTAGGTGCACATAGACCACTTCTCTGACATATATACCGGTTTTTTCGATAGACTCAAAATTTTGGATTTTATAATGATTTTCCCAAAAAAGTCAGTTTTTTTTTAAAAATTTAGGCCAAAATCCAAACTTTTCAAAAAACCGAGATAGCCATTTGATAGACAAAGTAAAATTACGTATAACCTTTTTTGTTACGTCTTGATTCCTTTAAAAATGAAGATGTTAGTGGCGTTTGAACTTTTGCCGTTTTTGAGGCGAAAATGGCGAACATGACGTCACTAAAACGTCAATTTCTCAAAAATTTTCCGACGGATTTCGCTCAAATTTTCAGGGAACGTGTCAAATTGATGTAAGAAAAGGTACTGAAAGTTTGGCGGCGCTGCGCGCCGCCGTTTTTGAGATATCGCAAAAATTCGCGAGGGGGGGTAAAATTTACCCCCCCCCCCCAGCCCCGCGCGGGTTAAAATAAGGCGACGTTCGAGTTTCTCAAGGCTCAGTTTTTGCCCGTTTCGCTGGCTAAAACGCATGCTTAGTTGAAACTCATACTTGGAGCCAAACACCTTTTGAAAAAAACTATAGTAATAATGATGTGTGATCTGACCTCCGTTGTGTGCCCTTTGTTGCCCTCTGTTGGCCTTTGACTGCTGTGTGCCGTCCGTTGACCTCTCGCCCACGCCGGCGGTGCCCTCAGCTCGGTGGCAGGGCCCGGCGGCGGCCGGCGGCGGCCCGTCGTCCTCCAGGCCGTCCTCCCCGCCGTCCCCGGGCCGCTCCTCCTCGGGGGAGGAGGAGGAGGAGGAGGAGGACGGCCGGCCGACCGACTACCTCACGCCCGGCTGCTACGACCTCGACGGCGCCGGGCGGCCCGTCTGCGCCGGCGACCCCGCCGCGGCCGGCGGCGGGCCGGGCGCCGCCGCCGGCCTGTTCGGCGTGCCACTCTCGGTCAGTGGGTGCTGGGGTCGCCTGCTCACAGACATGGTGTGCACTGCGGAATTACCCACAAATGGGTTAGGGCTGGGTATGTTTCCCGGCCCCGTGCCGCAGGTGTGTGCCATTCGCAGCAGCAGTCGGGCCGACCCGGTCCGGTGTTCTGGACTGGTCAGAGGCGCTTACGCCGTGCGGTCTGACCATCCTTCTGACGTCCGTTCACCCATTTACCGTCCGTCTGTCGCCCATTCACCGTCCGTCTGTCGCCCATTTACCGTCCGTCTCACACCCATTTACCGTCCGTCCGTTCACCCATTCACCGTCCGTCTGACGCCCATTTACCGTCCGTCTGTCGCCCATTTACCGTCCGTCTCACACCCATTTACCGTCCGTCCGTTCACCCATTTACCGTCCGTCTGTCGCCCATTCACCGTCCGTTTCACGCCCATTTACCGTCCGTCTCACGCTCATTTACCACAGGTGATGATGGCTGAGGCGGCCAAAAAGAAGAAGAGGCAGCTAAACTCGGGCTGCCAGGGCGGACCAGCCGGCGGCCCCCGGTCGGCGGGGGCGGGGGCGGGGGCGGGGGCGGAGCCGGGTCGGAAGGACCGCTCCTGGCTGACGACCGCCGCCGCTCCGCCCGCCCCGGCGCAGGCACCGCGGGTACCACAGGTACCGGTACCGCGGGCCGGGCCACAGCCGGGCCTCGCTGAGACGCTGGACAGCCTGCGCAGACTGGCCGTCGGCGGCGACCAGCGGCCGGCCGCCGCGGGCCTCGGCAGCAGCCCTCGCAGCTCCGAGAGCACCCGCAGCTGCTCCGGCGGGTCGGAGCCGGCTGGCAGCAGTCCCCGCGGGCCAGACGGGGCCGGCAGCAGTCCCCGCGGGCCAGACGGGGCCGACAGCAGTCCCCGCGGGACAGACGGGGCCGACAGCAGTCCCCGCGGGACAGACGGGGCCGGCAGCAGTCCCCGCGGGCCAGGCGGGGCCGACAGCAGCCCCCGCGGGCCAGACGGGGCCGACAGCAGTCCCCGCGGGACAGACGGGGCCGACTCGGAGCTCAGCGGGACGCCGCGGGACGCGGACGGCCCGGCCGAGGACTGGATGACCTCCTCATTCGACGAGGACTGGTTCCTCAGCACCGAGCGGGAGGAGCGGGAGGAGGAGGAGGCGCGGAGGCGCGCGGAGGAGGAAGACCAGCGGAGGAGGCGCGGGGGAGGAGCGGAGGGAGAGGAGTCGCAGACTCGGCGAGAGGCGCGGCGACACGAGTCCGAGTCCGAGTCGGAGCTGAGTGGACAGACCAGCGCCCTCCGAGCCACACCGCAGAGCCAGTGACTCAGGGAGCCAGTGGCGTCAGAGAGCCTCCGGGGTGCCAGTGTCTCCGGGGGAGCCAGTGACGTCACAGCGACTCTGGGGACCCGGTGACGCAGGGACCAGTGACGCAGACAGTCAGTGACATCACAGTGACTTTGGGGAGCCGGTGGCGCAGGAAGCCGGTAGCGCAGGGAGCCGGTGGCGCAGGGAGCCGGTAGCGCAGGGACCCGGTGGCGCAGTGAGCCAGTGAAGCCGCGGTACCGATCTGGAGGATAAGTTAAAACTAAAACTGTGAATGGAGCTGCTGGAACAAGTGGAACAGAGAGTGACGTATGCTCAATAAAACGGCGCATTTAGCCCGCAGTGCGCATACAGGACCTCAAAGCAGAATACGATGGGCGCCAGACAATAGGCAGGAAGCCAGGACTATGAGCAGAGAATCCGTGTCTGTAGGCAGGAAGCAAGAGCTGTCGGGAGCATGCCTGTGTCTGTGGCAGCTCGGTCGTTGGTACGCGCGCTGCTGTTGGACCGCTGCCGTTAAATCGCTGCCGTAAAATGGCCGTCGTTTGTCGCCGGCCGCCGCTGCAATGTGTGACCTCTGTTCGACTGTGGGCCGTGACGTCAAATACACCGTCAGAGATGGACGGGAGGTTTGTGAAACCCGCCAAAGACGTACAGCCCACCGCTAAAGTAATGTAGGGTTTTACCAATCTCAACGATTGGATTTGACTGGCGATTGTTTAATGCGGAGTGATCGAAAAGAAGATGTCAATAGCTAAAATTGCAGCTGCAAGGGTGACGATACATATAAGCTACATTCAAAGTTTCATGGCAGTCTGGCTAATCGTTCCTAAGCTTCAGAAGCAGAACATACCCATGACTGAAACCCCACATTACTTCTGCTGTGGACTGTACCAGCGACTCGGCGGCTCTATTTACCACTGACCCGGCTGAGGGAGCGGCTCTATTTACCACCGACCCGGCTGAGGGAGCGGCTCTGTTTACCACCGACCCTGCTGTGGGAGCCAAACAGCATGGGCCATTTGATCTATTTTGATCGGGATACCAAGGTCCCTGATTGGTAGGTACTATCTCACACTTAAATTTTCTGGCTTCGATTGGCCACATAGGATAATCGAAGTAGCCAGATTGCACGGAATGTTCCTCTTGCTGCAGGCTGATCCCAGCGATCACGACACGTGCGCTGTCAGAAAATATCGAGACCCATTTTTAAAACGACCACGACGACCAAATACTAAATACTTTATCAAACACTGTCTCGATCTCAAAATTTACGAGTGATATTTAAACTTTTGTATGTTTTGTAAATTACGCAGTTGAGTGAAATTATTGATTTAGTGTATGATTAAATTAACGCATCGTAACCCTCCTCAAAACTGTTTATTCCTTGATCATGGCCGTAAATCCGTAAGTTTAGACCGGATTCCTCTGACTCTCGCTCCATTTTACCGGTACTTGTTGCTGGAGATGCAAAGCTCGGTCTCCGACCCGGCTCTGCGGCCTGTGAGCCGCACCTCCATTTCCTCTCAGCCACCAGTGGCCTCCAAGCCGGCGGCCGGCGCCAGCGGCCCCTCGGTGAGCTGTGCTGCCGCCGGCCGGGCCGTGCGCTCTCTGCGCCGGGCCGTGGAGCGCAGCGGCGCGCGGCGCGCAGAGCGCAGCTGGGCCGAGCGCAACTTCCCGCGTGTGCGCCGCGCCGGCGGCGGCGCCAGTCGGCTGGCGGCCTGCGCGGGCCTGCTGGCGCGCGAGGAGGAGCCGCGGCAGGCCGCCGACAGGGCGCTCGGCCGGGAGGTGGCGCCCGACCAGTTTGTGCTCGCCGTCAAAAGGACAACAGGTGAGGATCTTTGTGCATGCGTGGCAAAAGGAGACAAGATTTATGAACGATGACCCAAGTGGTACTTAGCCCGCGCCCGGATGAGCCTCTCGGCCAATTTCGCCATGTTGCGGGGTCGCGTCAGGTTATCTCGAAGCAAGCTATAGGAAGACGCAGTTAAGAACAATAAATAGGTCACTATACAATTTCTCAGCATCATTCAGGCCATTTTTCGACCAGGTCATAGCTGAGGTCACCAAAATTATCATGAATCTTGGTTCCAGCTTTTCACGACTTTTCACAAATCGGCGCATAAGACGGGAACCAATCGAGAAAAGCGCATTCGATTGCTCTTCCAAAGGCCTTTCTGATTCTTGATTCTTGTCTCAGCTTTGACCTTAGTCAACGGTTTATCCTCCGGAATGCAAATACTCAGAATTTGACATGTTTGCGGAAAACGTTTTTCTGTCAAAATTTATGACACCAAGCTTGTATTACGCTAACTTTACTGGCATCGCGTTCCTCTCGTCGAGACGAGGCGAGGTCAACCTGAAAAGGTCAACTTAAAATTTGATCTCAGGTAAAGGTCACAGAAAAGATAATGCTGCATACCTATCAGTCGATTCATAGGTATAGTTGGGCTGAACCCATCCGTGGTGTTTTCAGTGCTCTAGCGTGTTTCACTTTCTATCTAAAGTTATTGTCAAAAAAAAACTGTTGGGGACGTGTCATGACCTGAAATAATTACATCAGGGGCATTAAACGGGGCATAGGTGCAATTCTTAGGTTCAGTGTGAAATGTTCACTTATGTCCCGATGTTTGAGGGTGTTTTTATCCAAAAGAAGAGCATTTCAATATTCTCCTATTGACTTACACGCCTCGCCCTGGCAGGGCATTTTTCATAACACGGCTTGGCAGGGGGGGGGGGGGGTCGATGCGACCCCCTCGCGAATGGCTCATATCTATGGCACCTAGAAACATCAAATTTGGTAGGTAGGTGGGCCCCCTGGAGTCTCGCCCCTGCGCAAATTTGGTTGCTCTAGGTCATTATTTAGGGGGGGGGGTTTGACTTGGGAGTTATGAATGTAAAAATTTCGCTAAAAACATGTCAAAATTTTTCGCTTATGTCCTCATGTCGCGACATGTCCAAGGGCTCCGCCACCGGCGGGCGGGGACATGTCCCCCCAACCAAATTGTTGGGTGTGACATACTATCTTTTGCCCCCCCCCCCCCAATAATTGGCTCTCCCGCTGGTAGATACCTAAATCGACTCTTGTTCCTGACACCGGATACAGAACATAGGTGCAAAGAATCTCCGAATATAAAACGTGATGACAATCTAATTAACCTGTCGTAGATAACTATATTAGCCGTTTTCACGACGGGCTAGCCAGTAAATGCGCCTGATTTGACCAAATCTGCACCTAATTTCTTTTACAGCAAATATCTTCATTTTATGAATTTATTTCAGTGTTTTAACCTTCGCCCAGTGGGGGGGGGGGGGGGGATATGTTACCACCCGGTCGCGTTTTTTGCGTGTGAATAAAAAACCGCGACGCGTAGCGCCGCGCCGTTTGGGGTAGCTTTTGGTACATCAATTTTGGACAATGTGTGACATTTTTTACCCCAGGTCATGTCAGGTCAGGTCACCAGGTCAAGTTAACTGACCTAGCCTAAAAAAGTTTGCAATCATGTCCACTGTCCAGCCTGCAGTGTTTGTCAGAAAAGTTTTAAACTTGTTGGATTGTATGATGTTATGGGCGCCTGCAATTTGTATATCTCGGATTGTTTATATCCGTGACCTAAGGTCAGGTCAATGGCGTGACCTTTCCATTACAAGTCAATGGAGAAAAATGAAAATGCCTCTAGATCCGTGTGTACCTACGCATAGGATCAGTCCAAATATTTCACAATCACAATGATTTGGACCACCCGTGATGACCAAGGTGTCATTTTTGCTGATAGCCTCTAGAAAGGTCATCCGAGGTCATTTGAGGCTACAAACAGATTTTTGCCAATAACTCGCGATTGGGAAGAGATAGAACGCTGGGGATGGTCTCATTGTGTTTGGCTTGTTGCGACGCATCGACTGATACGCAACATGACCTTTTCCGGTCAGGTCATGACCTTGACCTGAGGTCAAATTTTCAACTTGACCTTTCAAGGTCAAATTATAGTTCATTCGACGCGTCTCGGCGAGAGGAACACGATTCTGATAATAGAAATGTCGTGGCTTTTTGTAGTCGAAAGTTGTTGTCGAAAAACACTTCGTAAAAATAGTTATTTTTGGAGTTTTTGCCCTCTGGAGGCTAAACCGTTGACCTGAAGTCAATTTTGATAAATGACCTTTTCAAAAGAAGAGTTCAAAAGCTATCGATTGCTTTTCCATGCGTTTTTCTAGCTGCCATAGTTCCTGAGATATCGGCATGTATTCTGAAAAATATAATGACCATTGGCAAATTTTGACCTTTGATGACCTCTGGTGACCCCAATATTGCTCTAAGATGAAAAATGACTAAAATACTTTCAAACGTACGCATTGAGAGCTATCGACTGCTTTTTACCGCGTCTTTCTAGCCCTCTTAGTTTTTGAGTTAGAGGTGGGTGGTAACATATGCCCCCCCCCCCCCCCCCCCACTAGGGCGAAGTTGGCTGAGACCGCCACTGGGGCGCGGGTTAATCAGCGCCTGAAGGCCGTTCCCGCTGAGCGACACTAGCGCCACCGTACGTGTAAGGGCACGAACTAATGACACAATGCCTTGTCTATGGGAGAACGCGAAAGTTTATCAACTTCTTTCTCGTAAATAACACGACGGAACGGAACGAGACTGCGTCTACAATGTAGAAGCGTCCAAGTTTAATCACTTGAACATAGCACAAAGTCATAGCCGGTGAGGGACACAGCACGCGCCACGTGCCAACTAAGTGGTGACAAATGTGTTCGATTCACAATAACTTTACAACGACTGGGTTGATTGAGCTGAAACTTGGCATGTCGTGTGACATGCAAATGACAACGCATTTCCACGTGTCACGGTTCGGGTGCTGCTGCACGTGCGCACGCGCAGGGTACGCTCCCATATCTCGAGAACGGCTGGGCTGATTGCGCTCAAATTTGGTACGTCGTTAGGGACCGTTTGACAGGGTGCGTGCACGAGTCAGTTTGGGTCCAGCTTGCACGTGCGCACGTGCAGGGGTCGCTTCCACATCTCGAGAACGGCTGGGGAGATTATTCACAAACACGATTTCTCCCAATCATCCCCTCAAAAACACAAAAACAAGTGCCAAATAAAATGACCGTCCGTTCGCCGCCCAAACGCTGTTGAGTGTTGACAAAGGAAGTGGTTGAGCGCGGATGCGCAGTGGTGTGGGCAACGCCATCATCTGTTGCATACTGTCGAAAATAAAGCCATGTTTCATCTGACCCCGTGTTTCAACTGGGCCCGCTCTCCCCTACTCCCTGTGTATATGTTTGTCCCTGAGAGGCGGTCTTATTTACACCTTGTATGTGTGTGTCCTTGACAGGCGGGCTCAGTTACACGTTGGGCAGTCTGCGCGGAGGCAGAGGTTTCTTCGTGCACCCGCCGCTGCCGTCCGACCGTCGTCCGCCGCTCGAATTGCTGACCTCACGGCAGCAGGAGGTCGCCCGGCGCCGCCAGCGACATCTACAGCAGCGGGTACGTGGGCAGTGGCGACATCTATACTACAAACTGGTGGACAGTAGCGCCACCTATAAACCAGACGGGTTGACAGTAGCGACACCTATACCGTAGACGGGTGGACAGTGGTGACACCTGTAAGACTTACACCCGTGAAGGGCAGAGTCCCGCGATAATTGAGGAGGTAAGCCCATAAATCGGCTGCTGCTCGGTCATCGGTGAGTCGCTGTCAGCTGCTGCTCGGTGGGCCGCCGTCACTGTCGGCTCTGTCCTCAGGTGGCCCAGGCGCAGGCCCTGAGCCGCCGCCGCCGGCCGCCGGCCGCCGCCGCTGACCTGCAGACGGGAGATGCGCCGCCGCCCCCGGCAGTGGTGTCCGACGCTGCCGCCAGGGCGGCGCCACCGGAGTTCACCGAGGTGCCGCTGTGGGAGGTGAGTCCTTCACCGCGGAGAGCTCCATACGGCCCTTCACAGCGGGGATTTCCATACGGCCCTTCACGGCGGGGATTTCCATACGGCACTTCACGGCGGGGATTTCCATACGGCCCTTCACAGCGGGGATTTCCATACGGCCCTTCACAGCGGGGATTTCCATACGGCACTTCACGGCGGGGATTTCCATACGGCCCTTCACGGCGGGGATTTCCATACGGCCCTTCACGGCGGGTATTTCCATACGGCCCTTCACGGCGGGGATTTCCATACGGCCCGAACAGCGATCGGCGTGACGTCAGTGACATGACCGTTTCAGTGACTGCAATAAGTATGGCATTAGCCCTCGCCGGCACAGGCCATTTTGAGTCCTTCGACGGCACAAGGGGGAGGGGGGTTGGCACGATCCCCCCTCGCGTTTGGCCCCTGATGGAGCTAGAGCTTCGCGGAAAAACGAGCGTGTTGCCCGTCACGAGAGGAAGCCAATGATACCCAATTTTAAGGTCCTAGGTCATCGATTGACCTTCCATGTCAGGTCAATGACCCGAAAATCGGGGAAATCGAGACCTCTTAGAAAGTCGTAAAGTGTGGCAGGTGGCTGCTATGGGGTTTTCCGGGGTGCTGATCACGAATATCGTGCTATTTTTGATCAGAGATGATGTCTTTAAGCATTTAGACCGGGTCGGGTCAGGTCAGGTCAACCGGTAGGGGTCGTGACGGTTATTCGTAGTACCTGTCATCCGCCTCTGACAGCTTCGTAACATGTTACGAAGGCACCAAAACTACTTCGTAAATGTTCAAATGGTTGCTTAATTCGAATTCAGCTCCAAAAACTAGCATAGAACCATGAAAAACTCGAAAAAGTGAACCGAGGTCACCAAAGGTCAATGACCTGACCTGACCTTCAGGTTACCTTGACACCCACCCTAATGCATTGGAGCAACATCAAATCAAATGTTTGAACGTTTGAAACCACGAAAAGCTTGCAAACGCGCAGCTAATGCGAGCCGACATACGCCGAATCGCGATTCCGGCCAAACATGGTCTCGGAAAAGAGGTCACAGGTCAAAGGTCATTTAGGTCAGGGTCATGAAATTTTTAGGGTAGGTGTAAAAGTGATCAGTGCGAGGGTACGGAAAGTTTCGTCGCGATCGGCTGTTTTTTACGCGAGTTATTTGCGAAAAACCGTAGGGGTTGCATCTCCCCCCCTGTGCCGGCGAGGGTTGAGCATGTAGAAACGATCAAAATTCTGGACTCTCCAATATACCTAAATAAAAGCCTAACTAAGGTATGTACGGCTGTGAAGATGCTGGGCCTCGTTTCATAAAGCAAGTCCGTAACTTACGGCGGTTTTTTGGTCTTGTTTTGGAAGTGCATGTGAAGGGATAAATTTATTTCCCCTTCTCCCTTCTGCTCTTGCCTGCAATATAAATAAATTCAACGATTCAAGCTAACGCCATCGCTTCACATTCACTTGCAAGACCAAAAACCGCCGTATGTTACGGACTTGCTTTATGAAACGAGGCCCTGGACACGGTAGGTAGGTACTAGGTGGTCTACAAAATAAGTTCTCTCCGTATCCGGGCAGGTGGCGCCCGAGTAGCGCTCAGGCGCTAACTGCCCACTGGTGACCCGCATACGGCGGGGACTTATTTTGTAGACCTACTGTACGACAGGTAGGTACGACACAACACATTGTAACGGCACGATACGACAGGACACACTGTGCCGTCACTAGCGTCTCCGTCACGGCGTTCCCTTGTGGTGTGTGCGCGGCGGAACTAGCGCAGCGTCCTGCAGGGGCGAGTGACATTCTGATGTCAGTGTGACGTGCCGGTGGGGCAACTGACGTCAGTGTGACGTGCCGGTGGGGCAACTGACGTCAGTGTGACGTGCCGGTGGGTAACTGACGTCAGTGTGACGTGCCGGTGGGGCAGCTGACGTCACTGAGCTGACGTCAGTGTGATGTGCCGTGTTTCCAGGATCCCCAGGAGCTTCCCGAGAAGCGGCCGCGGAAACACCGGAAACACAAGGACAAGCGTGAGTGACGTTACACCCCGCCCGGGAGTGTCGGCTCCTGCCTGTACTCTGTACCAGTGTCGGCTCCGGCTCCTGTCTGTACAGTAGGTCTATTAAAAAAGTCCCCAGCACCAGTGGGCGCTGCCTTCGCTGAGCCGAACCCCCGTCTGCCCGTCCCATATCGCGCCGGGCTCAGGTCAGGTAGGGTCAGCGGGACCGCTCGGTCCGGCCCGCGGGCGGTGGACGGGCGGCCGGTAACGCTTTCCGCCAGCCAGCTGTAGAATCCAACAAACGGGACGGCCACCGCTCAGCGCAGCGAAACCGGTGTTAATGAATGGCAGTAGATGTTTATGGCCACAATGATTATGAGATAATCATTGTTAGCCCGTGCCCCACAGGAATGCCTAGACTCTCAAGCCCTGTTGGAGTGGAAATGGGGATTGAGCATCATTCTTATAACTCAGCTTTGGGCATTTAAGTGGTATTCGAAGTTGCGTCAAAAGTAGCAAAAAGAAGAAAAGATACTTCAGCCAATTTTAGATCGGGTCAGAGCAAAAAATCATATCACCAGAGGTCATCGATGATAAAATTTTGCTTGGACAGGGTGCGTTGCGCGCACCGGTGCATTGGGTTTCCAATTTCCATGGATGCATCAACAGACTCGGAAGCTCATAACGCTAGCGTGGAGCCGAATTCATATCAACCGCCGCAACAATGCATGGCAGCGCAGCGCAGCGTGCTGCAGCGCGGGGCCGTGAAACACCGCCCACGGCTATCCATGTGTCAGGGCAATCCAACCTACGTGATGGACTCGGCCTCAGCGGAGCATGAGGCCCAGGACTCCCGCCCAGGCCCCCTGTCTCCCCCTAATTCCTGTCATCCTTACCACTCTGAAATTGACCGAAAGAGCCTAACCTAACACAACAAGCAGCTCGTTTACCGCTATGTCTGAATAATATTGTCAGATTTGATTAAGGTCAACGGCTAAGCACGTAAATAACAGCAACTGCCACCATCGGTATTATGAGATAACCAATTGCTTTTCCACAAACACTAAAAGTTTTAAGCTAAACTTGCATGAAATTAATTTTACCAGCCTCGTGTTCCTCTTATCAAAACGCTTCGAATGAATCAAAAGTTGATCTTTTAAGGTCATTTGAAGAATTTAGCCGATGTTTTAAAGGGAGATTATGACCTTTTTCCACAAAATCTGAGTTAGGACCATTTTCTGACAAAACACAACAAGTTATAACGTAAATTAAAACCATTTTGCTCAATTCGGTACCTTGCCGCAAATATCTCAACTTGAAGTCACGTTAGCGGGGAGCGCTGAAAATGACCGTTGAATAAGTACTTACATCACTTTTTGGTACTTGCATGTAATTTTGTAAAATGAGCGTATTCATTACATTTGATCTTCATCACATCTAGTTAGTTAATGGTCGTCTATAGTGCCTTCAAAAGATATTCATGGTTTGGGGGTGGTTTATGTCTAAATTTACGCAACTATTTTTCCTGTTCATCATCTGTCGCCATATGCTGCTATTTTAGTAGCAACGACTCAATTTTGAATCGGTCCCGCCGACTGCACAATAAAAGAAGATAGATACAACACTTTTGCGGCATCACTGAAAAACGTATGCAGTACTGTTATCAAAATTCTCATAACACCGTTCGACAAACCTGAAGTCTTTTTGAAATAAATATGCTTGTATTTTTCGCTTCAGGCTCTGAGGCCAAAATAATGAATTTCGTAGTCGCAATCGCAAGATTTGGCTGCGTTTCTGGCGCATGCCGTTCATTTGTGGCGCAAAATAATACTTGGAAACAAAGAAGAGTAGGCACTATGTACCCCCGAATTAGAATCTAATTAATTCTAAACCGAATTAACTCTAATTCGAATTAGAATCCTTACAACCAAGCAACGACAAGGCGATAACATAAACAAAAACCCAAGCGTCGCTGTTTGAAACAAAAGCGCCATATACTGCGACTTTTTTTATAGAGAAGGACAACGCATTTCGGTGGGTGTTACAAGTACTGCAAGTACTGCTTCTTTTTTGGAAAAATAAAAACCTTTTTCACATACGAAAATGTGCTAGGAAATTTTCATATTTTATAGAAACTACAGTAGAAATAGTATAGATGTCGAGTAATTTTTATTTAAGAAAAAAGAAAGCTCATTATCTCCCTTTAAGACATGACCTGACCAGAAATGGTCAGGATACATAGCAGGATATTAGATCCGTATCGTGGAACTTTACAAACACTTTAGATGATTTCATAACTTAAGCATGTCTATCAAAAATATGTATTACATGGCTCACGTGTAAGCTGGGTGTGTGATCATGCTTACGAGTATGTTGAACGCAACTGATAATGTTCTGTTGGCCACAATTTCTATATTTAATTTATCCTCCCGGATTTCGTATTTTTATTAATGACACCTTGACGATGTCGAGAAAAAAAAAACGCTTAGGAGATTTAACAGCCTGAGATACATTCAGTATAAGGAAGGGTCAAGGGTGCTAGATTCCTTCCGTCCTCGCTATCCTCAGGAAAAACCAATCCGCATCGCCCCTAGTCTTCATGCTTCCCTCTCTGGACTGGAGGTCACCCCACCAGCCAACCTGTAGTTGATGTCGGTTCCATTCCAGGACACATAATCCTCTTCGGGTGACCGTTCGGGAGACGACTGGAACGCCCCGACAGGGCAATCGTCCCACGGGAACAGTCACGCTTCCGCAGATCACTGTCGCTGGCTCGCACAACCAAATTTCTACACCAGAGCATAGTTATGTCATAGCTCTGCAAGGGCCTTCTCAGACCGAAAAAGATGGCTCCCAACAAAACAAACAATTTTCTCATTCAGTATTGTATCTCATCAGGCACCACATGTTTTCAGACTTCAGAGTGTTTATTATGCGTTCCGTCCAAAAAAAGCGCAGTTCAACTTTCTCCCATTGACTTTAGCGATCTCAAAATTGACTCGACCTTTCTGTCAGCAATATCAAACTTGCAAAGTAAACGTTTCAAATACATATACATACTGTTGCGATAGGCGTTATCACAAGTGTATTCGCGGCCATTGGGGCGACGTAAGAAAAGAAGAAACCAACTGGCCCCAAGAACTTTAAATTATCAGTTAGCATGCACCTTTTCCTTGATGTGTAGAAAATTTACCATTATTTGTTACAGAAAATTGCATTTAAAATCTTCCATTTATGCTTTTTTCATCGTTTGCACAATATGTTCTTTTACTAAGCTAGAAACACTAATTAGAAATAGTTCCCGCATCATCAAGAACAATAGGGAAGGCTTGAAGTGAATAAAATAATTTAAACGGTTTTGCAATCTATGTGAAGGCACTTCTAAAATTGCCTGTAGAAATATTGAAGGCAAAAGTTCAACTTTTTCACAAGACGGATGTCTATAAACCTATTTAACTTGTGACAACTCAGCCGGTATTTCGTCGCCTACAGCCCAGCTTTCCCTAGTGACCGATAGAGGCGCTGCTATCGATGTCCGCCCGTGCCGCCTAACGGCCCATTGAAATAGCTGAAAGTTCTAAAGCGATCGGTTAGTCGATGCATTTAGATATGATGAGCACAGGAACTTTCCTTGAGGTAAGGTCAATTGACGTGACCTGGTGTTATGACCTTCAATTGAAAGGCTTGGGCGGAAACAAATGGGTCATTTGAAATCTTAAAATGTTAGATTTTAATAATAATTGCGAACACTATCCCGGCCAAATAGTGAGTGAGAAGGGAGCAATTCCCCAACCCCATGTTTAGCTCCTATAATTGAGCTAACTGATAAAGCCTCGCGGAAAAAACGAGCGTTTGCGTCGTTACGTGACGCAGCGACTGTTACCCCATTTTAAAATATCAGTGACCTCTTAGGGCAGGTCAAGGGCCCCAAGGCATTGGATTGGTTTTTGGTGAAAAACTTCGCAAAAAAATGGTAGCATTATCGTCAATTCGATACAATCGTGTTTTCTGTTCTCAGACGCGTCGATTTATATGCTTTTTTGCTTAGGTGAAGCAATTTAGGATGTTTAGGTCAATGTCATGTTAGGGCAACACAGGTCACGAAGCTGTTGAAAGGAGGACATGTTGCATAGCATTTGATTCGGCAAGTCTTGCAGAGTCCATTGATGGCTTTCCCGACTGGCTAGCTCATTTTGATCGGGAGTTATTGACGAAGCACTCCTAATGACGAGCACTCCGTCACGCAAGGTGAACAATGCAAAAGTGAAGCATTAAACCTTGCCAAGAATGTATGAAGTCACGATTTCATGTGCTTGAGGTATAGTTTTAGGTCATTTCCGACGCCAAATTAACAGTTTCCATATTTTCCCATTATGCTTATATGTGACTAAGTGCATTATGGATTTGCATCATTTTATAACCGACAACCGTGCAGTCTGCTGAGGTTTACTTAAGACGTCATAGTTAACCCGCGCGGGGCTGGGGGGAAATTTTACCCCCCCCCCCTCGCGAATTTTTGCAATATCTCGAAAACTGTGGCGCGCAGCGCCGCCAAACTTTCAATACCTTTTCTTACATCAATTTGACACGTTCCCTGAAAATTTGAGCGAAATCCGTCGGAAATTTTTTGAGAAATTGACGTTTTAGTGACGTCATGTTCGCCATTTTCGCCTCAAAAACGGCAAAATTTCAAACGCCGCTTACATCTTCATTTTTAAAGGAATCAAGACGTCACAAAAAGGTTATACGTAATTCTACTTTGTCTATCAAATGGCTATCTCGGTTTTTGAAAATTTTGGATTTTGGCCCAATTGTTTTTCTCAAAAAACTGATTTTTTTGGGAAAATAATTATAAAATCCAAAATTTTGAGTGTATCGAACAAACCGGAAAATATGTCAGAGAAGTGGTCTATGTGCACCCACATACCAATTTTCAGAAGAATCGGTTCAAAAATGTGGGATTTATCCAAAATTTTATGACGTCACGACACAAAAAAAACTGAAAAAAATGATTTTTTTTGAATTTCTAGA